TCCCCCCCCCCCCACCCCCGGCCGTTGGCTAAATGTTGCTAGCACACTGCTGTCTTTCCAACCAGGAACCTGTAATTACCTGCGCTTCTCTCAGGCTCTCCACACCTGGAGGTGGGACCTCCTCACGGAACAGCAATTATTTGGGGACTGCAACAGGTTAACCACAAAACTGGTGTGCGTTAGAAAGGGGGGAAGTCAGTGGAGAAAATTGCAAGAATCAGCATGGAAGAGGTTGGAGACTTCCCTGGAGATCCAGTGGTTAACACTCCAAGCTCCCACTGCAGGGGGTGCAGGATTGATCCCTGGTTGGGGAACTGAGATCTCACATGCTGCACAGAATGGCAGGAAAAAAAAAAAAAAGGAATAGAAAAGGTTGCTCCCACCAAGTCCTCTTCTTTTTTTAGGAAAGATGCTGCTTCAGGATTACCCGCTGAAGACGAAAGTGGGAAGAAGCAAGCTTGTAAAGATCTGTCATCATGGGCTCAGGCGGCAGTGGTGCCATCGGCCACCCCAGAAGAACAAGCCGCCCTGCGGCTGAGGGAGTGGGGGGGGGGACCTCACAACAAGCCCTCCTCTGAAACAGAGAGCCAACTCCCCATACTTGGGAAAAGCAATTGCAGTCTCTTGTCACCCGGTACCTTTAGCATCAGCACCACCGAATTTTACATACTCGGAAGGATTTCTAAAAACACTCAGAGGTGGGCTCCCCTAGTGGTCCAGTGGCTAAGAATCTGGCTGCCAAGCAGGGAACACGGGTTTGATCCCTGGTCTGGGAGGATCCCACATGTCGCACAGTAACTAAGCCCAGATGCCATGACCACTGAGCCTGTGCTCTAGAGCCTACGAGCTGTAACTACTGAGCCCCCGAGCCACAACTGCTGAAGCCCGAGTGCCCTAGAGCCCGCGCTCTGCAACAAGAGAAGCCACTGCAACGAGAAGCCGGTGCCCTGAATTGAAGAGTAGCCCCCTGTTCCCCTCAACTAGAGAAAGCTTGCATGCAGCAAGAAAAAGCCCGCATGCAGTAACGAAGACCCCAGCACAGCTAAGTATATAAAAGAATTAAAAAGCAAAAAACTCAGGGGGTTGCAAGAACATACACAGATAAGTGTGCCCACACATGAGGCTGGGACCCTGGCATTTCTATTAACAAGAGTTTCAAAGTGGGACGAATGCCAACTGGTCCACTGGCGGAGCATTCTCATCAGGCTATGAATGAAACCGAGAGCCCACACCCCCCACACACTCTGTCCCCCTCAGCAGTTACTTACTAGGTTGGCATTTAAAGGAGACCAGGAGGTATTTACTGCTTCCTGGACAAAGGTCAGGTCCAAAAACACGGCTATTGACCAGGAGGTGGCAGGCCCGCTGGTTCTGACACTCGTCCAGCACCTTCTAAAAGGAGGGGGTAGAAAAGGGACAGGCTTGAGAACCACACGCAGCGTCTGCGGGACCCCACACCTGGGCTGCTCTGGAGGGAGGGGCGCCTGCCTGCCTGGCCTGGGGCTCACACTTAAAGCCTTCACGCTGGTATCAGCTGAGTCTATGACGGACACACCCACACGGGACTGATCAGATTGGCTCTCTGTCTCCCCATCGCTCCTCACAAAAGAATATCTGCTCCAACAGTGCCAGGCCTCCCACAGAAAACCAGTCTCCAATTAGCCTTGCCTGGCTCCACTACTGAAGTTCTAGCAAAAGAGTGACATTGCGGTGGCTCCTGGGGACATAAACCATATCAAGGTAGCAGAGAGTGGACTGGAAGAAACACAGATGTCCACCCCTACCCACCACTGCTGTGTGAAACAACCACAGCTACACATCCTTAGAAACACCCAACATGGGTCACAGGAACGGTCAGCATTTGGAAGACTTCTGGGCTTCCTTGGTGGCTCAGATGGTAAAAGAATCCACCTGCAAGGCAGGAGACCCGGTTCAATCCCTGGGTTGGGAAGATCCCCTGGGGAAGGAAATGGCTACCCACTCCAGTATTCTTGCCTGGAGAATCCCATGGACAGAGGAGTCTGGAGGGCCACAGTCCATGGGATCACAAAGAGACAGACACGACTGAGCAGCTAACACTTTCACTTGCAGTTTTTGGAAACCCCGACCCAAATGCAGGTCAACACATGAAAATTAAAAAGCTGGTCCTCACCCTCACCAACCTCAAGGACACAGGACCCACCCACTTCCGGGCAGTATCCCACCCAGCGAACACTCCGGCTTGCTGTTGAGCCTCTGGCTTTAAACGCTTTCCTTCAAACCTCTCCTGACCTTTCCCAGGCCGATCACACCTTTGTGAGTGAGTCTGCTCTGGGCAAGCTCGGGGACCACCCACCACTGGGTTGCAGGTGGGCCCCATCCCACTGCTGCCCTCTCGGTTCCCACATGGGTCAGGACCCCCGCCCATCATGAACACAGAGGTCCTCCACGCCAAGAACAGGAAAAACGCTCCCAAGAATCTTCTTATTCCTGTTGGGTTGAATTTAGTGCCGATTCACAAGCCTGTCTAGAGTCTCCATGTTCTCACGGTAGCCCATGGAATATCTCCGCGAAGGATGCTGGCCCTACTGGGTATTCTCCGTCACCTTAGGGGCCTCACAGTTGTGCATAAAATCCGGGAGAATGCCCAGGGAAACCCCCAAGGACCCCCAAGGATGGTGCACATTCCTTGGCTGAGGGAATCATCAGCCCTTGCATGTTACAGCCACGGGACCCAAGGCAGCGCTCTTTCCGAAGTGTGTCAGAGCTGAGAGACGCTGTAGCCATTTAGTCAAGGGATGAGGTGGGATGGGCAGATGTCAACCCGTTCCCTCCCACGTCGGGCAACCGCCCTCTGAGGAAGCCCCTTGCGTCAGCTCTCAAACGCAGGTTAAAAGACAGAGGAAAGAATCTCTTAACCTCTGGAGGAAAAAGAGCAGCGCGCAGGGACGCTTCTGGCAAACGAACCAAGGATGGTGCACATTCCTTGGCTGAGGGAATCATCAGCCCTTGCATGTTACAGCCACGGGACCCAAGGCAGCGCTCTTTCCGAAGTGTGTCATAGCTGAGAGACGCTGTAGCCGTTTAGTCAAGGGATGAGGTGGGATGGGCAGATGTCAACCCGTTCCCTCCCACGTCGGGCAACCGCCCTCTGAGGAAGCCCCTTTCGTCAGCTCTCAAACGCAGGTTAAAAGACAGAGGAAAGAATCTCTTAACCTCTGGAGGAAAAAGAGCAGCGCGCAGGGACGCTTCTGGCAAACGAGCTCTCCGAACAACATCCGGACTGTGTTTACAAATGCTGAGTCGTCCGCCTGGTTACGGGAACATCCTCTTCCCTCGGGGTTGCCTGGCAGAGGCAGGCGCCCTGATCGGAGGATGAGGTTGGTGCCCGTGTGTGCCAGGAGTTCACGCCTCCCCAAGTAGGCACTTCCGCCCTGGAGGCACTGGCCACAGTTCTTCACAAGCCCAGGGGAGCGCCTGACACCAAGCAGGTGGGCTCGGGCTGAGGAAGGGGGACGTTCTCAGGGCATGGGGGTGGGCTGGAGGGAGGGTGGGGCACGCAAGGAAAGGAACTGCTCGTCTCCAGAAGAAGCATGTTGTCTCTCCTCAGGGCGTGGAAACCAGGGGATTCATTCAAACACATTTATGTGGTTTCTCGGTGGGTGTCTTCACCAATCACGTGACCACCCAGATACTACAGCGCTTGGCATGAGGCAATAAACCTCATGAGGCAATAAATAGTCCAGGCAACAGAAAAACCCTTACATTATCACATTAGGCTTGCTACTCCTCTTCCAGGCTCAGGGAGAGCTGCGCCATGTTGAAGCTGATTTCATTTCTCCTCAGTCCTCTTCGGAAATTTACCTTTACCCTCATTTCTCACAACGGACAAAAATCAAGCTGACATCGAATTCACCAGCTACTCTAACTGCCATGATGTCAATGGATTCATAGGGAACTTCAGAGTCATTAAAAAAAAAATCCAAACCCAAGTGACTCCATAACCTTGGCCAACTAGTTATAGATGTTGAGGGGCCAGGAAAGCAAGATGGAGGTTGTTTGGATAACTGAAAGCAAGAATAGTCGAAAGTCATCATGGATACTGGGGTTGGCCATAAGAGTCCTTTCAGGTTTTCTGTACGCTGTTACAGAATAATTTGTTTTGACCTACTCGTAGACCAAGTATTTCCCCAATGCCAATCAAAAAAAGAATGAGTCAGCTCCCCGCCTCCACCCCCAATTCCTGGTACTATCAAGAGTAAACCAGCAGAGACTGCTCAACATAGATCCAAACCAGAATAACACGATTATCTACAACTGGAGAAGCAACCCATAAAAAATAACAAAGATAATTATTGATATTTCTCTTCCTTGAGTGCATTCTCTAAGAATCTGACCATGACCTCTGATGTCTGCCTTGCGGTTTCTACTGAAGCAGGCATGGCCTTCCTTCATCTCCTGGGGGTGGGGTGGGGGGTAGAGGGGCTGACGAGAGATGTTAAGCCTCGAGGTTGAAACCCAGCATAATGGTATGACTTAGCTTTATTGCAGGGAGCAGCGTGCCTTTGAAAGTGGGGTGGGGGGTAGAGGGGCTGACGAGAGATGTTAAGCCTCGAGGTTGAAACCCAGCATAATGGTATGACTTAGCTTTATTGCAGGGAGCAGCATGCCTTTGAATAAATTCATTCTGCAAGTGTATTAAGGGAGGGCTCCAATAAGTAGGCATTCTATATAGATTCAGAAGCAAAGAATAGCTCACTTGCCAAATTCGTGATCTGTCTACACGGAGATTTTCAGGGATCAGGTTTGCTTGGAGTGAACTGTGGAATCACAAGTATATACACAGAGAGAGGGGACAGACAGGCAGAGGCAGAGAAAGAGAAAACCATTTTGTCATCTTAGAACATCTTAGGAAAGGCAATACCTGCAGTGTGGTGGGCACCACACAGGTTAGGCTGTCTTCCCTCTGGGAGGCAGGCTGCTGCGGACTACACTTTTGGTAATCTTGCCCATAAAATGCCGACTGGACACTTATCGTGGAATGCCGAGGACACTGCAGATTCAAATGGTCCCCGTCACAGGCATAGGCGGTGTGGTTTTGCAGGAGTTTGGTTAGGTAACCTGGAAAATATTCAGCTGGGTTACAAGGGGTATAGGAGTTCACCACTCCTTCAAGGATTTCAGAGCGGGAGGACCTCGGCTCCCCTGGGGCGGGGGCTGGGCAGTGAGGAAGGTGTGGGCGGAGCTTCCTCCATTGTGGGCGGGGATTTCTATGCTATGGGCGGGGCTTACTCCCATGCTCCCCGGGACACAGTATCACCAAAAAGGAGCCGGCTTTTCTGTCTGGGCTGGAGCCCTCGGTCTGGGCTGGCCCGTGGCAAGGCTCCGAGAGCGTGTTCCCTCCAGGAAGCACTGAAGGGCTGACCAGGAGGCAAGAAGTCCTGAAGCATCTCTATAACGTAGGAAGAAATGCGAGTGGGTGTCCCTGGGGCATGTAAATGCCTGTCCAAAGGGAGACTTGGCTTCTCTCTGATCTCCCACTAGCTGGGCCAGGCCTTCCTGGAGCGGGGGGATGCCCGTTTTATTTTAGGAAACCAGTCCTGGGCCAGCCTCTGTCCTGGAGAAGAAAGCAAGGCAGGAATCCTGCCTAGGGTAAGGGACTTCTCTGAAGGGAGCGGAGAGGGGATGGTGTGACTCGGTTATGGGTCCAATAGTGTCTCCCCCTAAATTGACCTTCACCAGGAACCTCAGAATGTGACCTTGTTTGGACATAGGGTCACGGCAGATGTAATTAGTTAAGCTGAGATCAGGAGTGAGAAGGTCCCTGAATCCTATATGACTGGTGTCCTGATGAGAAGAGAAGGGACACAGGGCAGCAGTCATGTAAAGACTACAGTGATGTCTTTGCAAGCCAAGAACCTCCAGGGTGGTCAGGAGTCAATGGGAGCTGGAAGACAGTAGGAAAGATTCTTTTTTTTTTTAGTTAAAAAAATATATATATATATATTATATATTTTTATATATTATATATATATGTTTGTGTGTGTGTATATATGTGTGTGTGTGTGTGTGTGTGTGTGTGTGTGTGTGTATATTTTTTTTTTGGCTATGCTGACAGTCTGTGGGATCTTAGTTCCCTGACCAGGGATCAAACCTGTGTCACCTGCAATGGAAGCTCAGAGTCTTAACTCCCGGACCACCAGGGAAGTCCCAGAAAAGATTCTTCTGAGAAACTCTGAAGACAGCACGACCCTGCTGACACCTGATCTAGACTTCTGGCCTCCAGAACTATGAGAGAATGTATTTCTACTGTCTTCAGTCATCCAAGTTCAGTCATTGGTTACAGCAGCCCCAGGAGACTTATACCGGCTCCCTGTCACCACACCTGCAGCGAGGCTGGCTGAGTCGAGAAGGCCTTGAGCTCGGAGGAGCTGTGGAAGGCCTGGCAGGCACTAGCGGCCTGGATGTTTTCTCAGAAAGGAGGAAGGAAGGCTCATCTGAGATGCAGATTCCTTTCCTCCTTCTCACACCTCATGAGGTCAATCGCGAGGCGGCTGGGAGGGAAGCCAGGGACTTTCTGGGGAGGTGTGTGGGAGACGCTTTGGCAGTGTCGGCCTTCGAGGGGAGGAGGGGTGTGGAGGAAGGCGGCCTCCAGGCGCCCCAGTCCCCACTGGGACGGGCCGTGCTCAAGCTGCTCCTGGTTGGGTTTCAAAATCCTCTCTGAACCGTCATGCTTGACAAAAGGTGCCCAGTCCAGGTCCCTGAGCTCCCCTGACGGTCGCAGAGAAGAGACTGAGGTGCTCTGCCTAGATAGGCCCACCTGCCAAAGCACACCTGCCCACTGAAAGTGAGGACCGGGCGCCCTCCCCAGCGCTCTGCACTCAGCCCTTAGGTGTCCAGCTGTAATTCCTTTTTTCCTTCCCACCCACAACCACCATCATAAGATCGGCCAAGGAATCAGCCACCCCGAGGAGCAAAGTCTAGCTTCGAGCAGCAAAACTGCCGTTAAGCAGCAGGCCTGTGAGTCAGGGCTTCCCAGGTGACAATAGTGGTAAAGAACCCGCTTGCCAATGCAGTGGATGTAAGAGACGTGGGTTTGACCCCTGGGTCGGGAAGATTCCCTGGAGGAGGGCAGGGCAACCCACTCCAGTATCTTTGTTTGGAGAATCCCGTGGACAGAGGAGCCTGGTGGGCTGCGGTCCATAGGATCGCAAAGAGTTGGACACGACTGAAGTGATTCAGCATGCACCCATGCATTGTGAGCCAGGACCCTGCTTGTTGGAATGTTGTTGCTTATAAGGTGAACCCCTCGGGGCACTGAGAGGAACCAGGCAGAGATCCCTTGGTGGTCCTGGGGCCCCAGGTCAGTGTCATCCTGTAGGATGCACAGGTGGGCCCCGATGAAGCCATGATTTATGCAAGATTCTTTGTGAGGTCTTAGGATCCAGGGAACTCAGGGTGGTTCTGAGGATGCCCCCAGGCCAGTACCCACCCTGAAGCTTCCCAGGCTGGTTCTATCATCCTTGGGTCTCTTCGACTTTGTCAATAAAATGTTCTTGTCAATCATACCCCATCCTTCATGGGGATGCTCAGCTGGCTGAAATCTTAAATCAGTTCTGGGAGCATGACCTCAGCTTAGTGTTTATGATCTGTCTGAAAGGCCATGTGTTACTCTGGTTAAATGAAGGTGATGTTAAGGCCCTGGGGCAGATTGAGCCACAAGACCAAAGGGGCCTGATTCCCAGATTGATGAAGTGAGTTGCTGCTTGCTGCACAGACTGTCATGTGAGTGAGAAAGAAAACTTCTGCTGTGTTCGGACTATCACCTTTCATCACCCAATTTGTCATGTGTTAATAGTTTGTCTTCAGGAAACAAACTTGATCTCCGTGGGACTGTTTGCATCAGAATACAGCCGGATGCAGAGCAGTGGCCAAAGCCTCCCTGCCACCATCTTCATATCCTGAGAGTAATGTTCTGGAGACATAAGCTCGATGCACAGAATTGATTAGCGGGAGGTCTTTCCGGCCCTCTTGCACTTTGAGGAGAGAGGGGAGCCTCCTTCCCGATACATCAGTTCTGACACTCTACAAGTTCAGCAGTAAAACTTGCTCTAGACTCGGTCCAATTCCTTCTTTGGAAACCTAGGCCTAAGTCCAGCAATGGAACATTATTCAGTCCTTGGACTGCAAGGAGATCAAACCAGTCAATCCTAAAGGAAAGCATCCCTCAATATTCATTGGAAGGACTGACACTGAAGCTGCAGCTGCAGTACTTTGGCCACCTGATGTGAAGACTGACTCATTGGAAAAGACCCTGATGCTGGAAAAGATTGAGGGCAGGAGGAGAAGAGAGTGGCAGACAATGAGATGGTGGGATGGCATTGCTGATTCAACGCACATGAGCTTGAGCAAACTCTGGGAGATAGTGGAGGACAGAGGAGTTTGGCGTGCGACAGTCTACGGGGTCACAAAGAATCAGACATGACTTAGTGACTGAACAACAACAACAAAAAGTGAAATGAGCTATGAAGCCACAAAAGACATGGAGGAAATAAGACGTACGTGATTAGGTGAAAGAAGCCAATTTGAAAAGGCTCCGTACTGCATGATTCCAACTACATATCATTCAGGAAAAGGTGAAACTATGGAGACAGTGAAAATATAAGTGGTTGCCAGAGGTTTGCGGGGGAGAGAGGGATGAATAGGTGGAGCACAGAGGAACGGTAGGGTGATGAAACCATCAAAGGAGGCCCAGCATCAAGAGAGACCCTTAGTATGGACTACGGACTCTGGGTGGCAATCTGGTGTCACAGCAGGTTCCCTGGTTGTGACAAGTTCACCGCTGGTGTGCGGTGTGTGGGATAAGTGGGGGAAGCTGTGGGTGAAATTCCTGAACTTTCTGCTCAATTTCGCTGTGAACCTAAACCTTCTCAGAAAGAAAGTCTACTTAAAAGGGAAAAAAATCTGGACTTCCCTGGTGGTCCACTGGTTAAGACTCTGCCCTTCCAATGCAGGGGGAACGGGTTTGAGCCCTGGTCAGGGAAGTGAGACCCCACATGCCATTTGGTGTGGTCAAAAGAATTTTTTAAAATAAGATAATACGAAACATTTGTATGCAGTAAAAAAAAAAAAAGGAAAAAGTTTAAAAACCACCCATGTATCCCCAGGATAGCATGACCTTAGGGAAGAGAGGGTTAGGTGCCAGGGAGGGGACATAAGGGGGAGCGTATGTGAACTGGCAAAGCTCTTTCTTTATGTGAAGGGTGGCTAGGCATTTCACTGTGTTCTAAGTTCACCTGGCTATGCACTTAGGATCTGTGCAAGTTTTAGTTGGTAGATAAATGTTTGTTTAAAAAACCTTTACCTGCAGCTTCATGACCAATACTTTATACTAATAAAGAAAGTCTAAGAAAAGCCCTTAAAACTATCCTATGCCTCTATCTCTAACTCTGCTTGTTGTTTAGCCGCTAAGTCGTGTCCCACTCTTTGTGACCCCATGGACTGCAGCCTGCCAGGTTCCTCTGTCCATGGAATTTTCCAGGCACGAATACTGGAGTGGGTTGCCATTTCCTTCTCCAGGGGATCTTCCTGCCCCAGGGACTGAGCCCACATCTCCTGCACTGGCAGGCAGACTCTTTACCACTGAGCCACCTGGGAAACCCGACTCTATGCTTACCATGATGCAAACCTGTAGTCTGTAATTTGAGACTCTGCATGACATTATCCACCTGAAAGGAGAACCCTGAGCTGATGGTCTAACAGTTCTTGCGTCAGAGATTCCCTTACGAAAGTTAAATGGAAATCTAGGAAACGCTCGTGAGGACCGGCCATCTGCCTAGCCACCTCATGGGCCCCAGAGGTGCTTTCTGTGCCCCATTCTGATTGGCTGTGTCAGAAGCTGCTAAGAGATCAAAAGAAGGACAGTTAGAACTACCACTGCTTTCAGCAACATAAGGGTCATCAAGGATCACTTTAAGGGGCATTTGGGATGATGAGTGGGTAACAGGAGCTTGTTTAGAAAAGGTTCAAAGTGGGCAGAAATTAAGAAAATGGGGACTTCCCTGGTGGTCCAGTGGTTAAGAATCTGCCTTGCAATGCAAAGGACGTGGGTTCAATCCCTGGTTGGAGAACTAAAATCCTACATGCCACAATGCAACTAAGCCCAGATGCCACAACTACTGAGCCCATGAGCTGCAACTAGAGAATCCGCAGGCTGCAGTGAAAGATTCTGAGTGCTACAACTAAGACCCCATGCAGCCAAATAAATAAATAAAAAATAAGCAAATGGCTCACCTGGTAGACAGAAGAATCCCCCGCAAATGTCCACAGAATCTAAATATGTTACTTTACATCACAAAAGGGATTTTGCAGTTATGATTAATTTTAAGATTTTGAGATGGCAAGACACCTTGGATAACCTGGGAGACACCAATATAACTCCAAGGTCCTTATAAGACGGAGGCAAGAAGGTCAGCGTCAGAGGAAGGAGGTGTGGCCACAGAACTAGAGGTTGGAACGGAGCAGCCATGAGCCAAAAATGCAGGCGGTATCTAGAAATTGGAAAAGACAAGGAAGCAGATGGTACCCTGAAGCCCCCCAAAAGAATGCAGCTTTGCCAACACCTTGATTTTAGACTTCTGACCTCCAGAGAGACCAAGCCTATGCTGGGTGAGGAAACTAAGAGTTTGTACAGATGACCCTTACAATGACTTGGTAAAGGTGAGGAGAGAAATAAGGCTTAGTCATAAGAACTGATGACCAGGGAGAGACTTTTCAATAATTACGATTGGGTTGAGGTTGGGAGAGAACCTATGTATGTACATGTGTGTGGGTATAAATACACAGGCACAGGAGTCCGAGGTCATATTTAAATTACATTTCTCACTGTGGGTTAGGATCAGACAAATTTGAAAGGTGGTTTTAGCAAGAGAGAGCTTGAAATGATGAACTGTGGGCTCCAAGCTAAATATAGGTGAGGCAGGACTTCACTAGAGGTCCAGTGGTTAAGAATCCATCTGCCAGTGCAGGGGACATGGGTTCGATCCCTGGTCCGGGAAGATCTCACATGCTGAGGGTCAACTAAGCCCATATGCTAGAACTACTGAAATCCAAGCACCTAGAGCCTGTGTTCTGCAACAAGAGAAGCCACCACAACAGGACGCTGAGAGTAGCTCCCAGTCACCACAATTGGAGAAAAGCCCGCTGGGAACAGTGAAGATCCAGTGCAGCCAAAAAATCAATCAACAAGTACATTTAAAAAAATAAACCAAGAAATATAGGGAAAGAGACGGTCACAGGAGAGGACCAGGGGAACACAGGTCTGCTGAGATCCACCAAGGTCAGAGTGGGGGCAGTCATACCAGCAAGCTGGAGGGGGAGGACAGCTTGATCAGAAAAGTTGCTTGATCAGATTCCAAGGTGGAACAGTTACAAGTGATGGAAATGGCCATGGCAGAGGGTGTAAGAAGTCAGTGTAGGAAAAGGTTCTTGGGAAAGAGGACCCCAGGAGCTGGGAAGATGCCCTCTGGATCAGACATCTCACAGAAAAAGGTAGGAACTGTGGGGGAGCAAGAGTCCACTGCCAAGGCTGACCTTGAACAAAGGGCAGAGAGCAGATGACCTAAAGCCCCCTCCAGCGTGCAATCACCTTCCCCACTGAGCACGCCCACTCTTTCCAATGTGCTGGGTTGAGTCAACACATTACTGAGTACCTTACTTCATTCAGGATGGGCCTCCCAGGTGCCTCTAGGGTTAGAAAGGACCCACCTGCC